ACGAGCCGGGAGCGGCCCCTCGGTCCAGCTGCTAGCCGGGACCCGTCCCGGGCAGCCCTCCCTGCAGTCTCAGATCCCCCTTGTCCCCAGCGTCCCTGGGCACCTGCGCCAACAGCGTTAGCGTGGCCGCGGAGGAGGTGGCCATCGCTGCCTGCGGTGCGCCTGCGGGGTGTGGGTCTGGGCTGCCACGAGCTGCGGTGTGGGGCTGGAGGAGTCTTGGGGTCGCTTCTCCTCCCAGCCTTCATCTCAAATGCTCTCCTTCTTCGGCAGCCTATGAAGCCGCTGAAGGCCACAGCCACTACGTCGCAGCCTGTCCTCACCCTCCAGCAGATCGAGACCATTTTCTACAAGATTCAGGACATCTATGAGATCCACAAGGAGTTCTACGACAGCCTGTGCCCAAAGGTGCAGCAGTGGGACAGCAACGTCACCATGGGCCACCTCTTCCAGAAGCTGGTACGCACCTTCCCTGGGGCTTGCTCCGCTTGGAAGAGGAGGAAGGCTGGGGAGATGGAGCACCATGCTGCGGGGCTCGGCCCCATGGCGTGGCTCAGCTCACACTCTGCCACACGCTCGCCGGTGGCCGTGGGACTTGTTGCATCCCTCCCTGCAGCAGCCGCTGCTGCCTGCCCAAGCTCTCCCATCCCGGGATGGGAGTTAGTGCAGCCTCCGTGCCCCTTGCTGCGGGGGGGATGCCCACAGCTGGCGGGTCCTGGGTGCAACCGTGGTGGGGTTTTGCCTGGAGGTGCGTGGTACGGCTTTGCCGTGGGGCTGGCAGGAGCCCGGGCGTGCGGGTGACTCTCTGGGGAGAGGCAGGCAGTCGCTGCCTCTTCGCCCCCGGCTGCCTGCGGGCACTGCGGCGGTGGCTCTTTGGGGTCATGCTCCGGGTCCTGCTGCTGCTGCTTCGGACTTGTGATGGGAGCACAGGCTGTGCCCGTGGGTGCCGTGGCCATGCCGGGGAGGGGAGGAGGAGAGGGCAGGTCGAAGGGTGCCCGGAGGCAGCTGTAGCTTCAGCCTCCGCTGTGCAGGTACCCGTTGGCTTTCCGCTGGATTTCAGAGGTTTGTGGGGGCACAGGGCTGGGCCAGAGCCCCACCATTCTGCCCCGGGCAACGGCTTTCCTT